GGTGGATCCGGGGGAACCACTCAGGACTCTGGCTCCCCCCGACACCAGTGCTCAGAGCAGAGCCCCCTCCTTGCTGGTCCACCCCTGACCCCTGGCTGTCATGCAGGACAAACTGGCGGGTCCCTGGGGGCCACAGGATGCCTTCCCCCACCCGGGGCAAGGCAGGGGCAGTGGAGGAGAGACGGGATGGCAGCCAGGCCTCTGCCTGGAGGCTGAGCAAAGCAGTCCCCAGCCGCACATCCTGCACCCCTCCAGAGCAGAGCCCCCTCCTTGCTGGTCCACCCCTGACCCCTGGCTGTCATGCAGGACAAACTGGCGGGTCCCTGGGGGCCACAGGATGCCTTCCCCCACCCGGGGCAAGGCAGGGGCAGTGGAGGAGAGACGGGATGGCAGCCAGGCCTCTGCCTGGAGGCTGAGCAAAGCAGTCCCCAGCCGCACATCCTGCACCCCTCAGCAGCCAGGACGACAAGCTTCCTCTCTTCTTAATGTCTTTTTAAGTGAGAATGGGACAGAGATTGCACCCCCTCCCCTGCCAGATCTTTCTCCAGCCCCATCATGCTCAGGGCACCTGGCTCTGAGCCACACAATGAGAATATCAATAGATGCCTATCAGCCCTCCAGCCAAGAGCCAGCATCGCATTTCCTCCCAGTGCTGACAGCTCATTCATTATTGAGGTCCTTCTCGCTACCCCATCCTGCAGCCAGGAGCCCCCTTTCAGGATCACGCTCCCAGGGCCATTTCCACAACAGCCCTTGGGTTGGAAACACCCACACAGTGGAGCCCTCACAGCCCTGCAAAGAGGGTCTCCAAAACCAGGCGAAGACCAGACTAGGAAGCTCATGCAGGAGCAAAAGGGAGAGGAGGAGCTGGAGAAGAGTGCAAAGCTTTAGGCAGCAGAGAACAGGATCTAGGCATGGGTCTAGCCTAGGGCGATCTAGAACCCAGGTGGCCAGGGAAATAAAGGGTTCTAGATATAGCTCTGCCAAGTGGTGGAGTGGGCCAGGACCCGGCTGGCTGGCTGGCTGGGGAAGAGCTCTGGATTAGGCACATAGGACAGGCAACATCGACACTGGGTGGGTGAGGAGAGGGGGGTCTAGGTTTGGCCATGGCAGGATGTAGGCTGACCTAGAACCCACCTGGCAGGTGCAGAATGGATCCCAGACCTGCCTGTGGCAAGGGGAGGGCTACAGAGGGCTCAGGAGGCTGCTGGGGGCAGGGGGACTAAAGGTGCTGAGCCAGGCTTGCAGCATGGAGCCGGCCTCGAGGAGCCATGCTGTCCCTGCAGGCCTCTCCTCTTGCTTAACCTGGGCCTCAGGACTCTGGGGGTACCTGCACAGCACCTCTCAGCTCAAGGCCCATGGGTGAGGGGTGCTAGGGGCCAAGGCCCTCGGACTCCAGCCTGTTTTGCCGAGCTGAAATGCAAGGGGAGCAGTGGGGGCCAAGAGATGTCACCTTTGCTCCTCCTCCCCTGTGCCCCTGGGTCTCCCCAGGAGGTCCTGGAGTGCCGGCTCTCACGTGCGTGCTCCCCAGCTCGGCCCGAACTTCACGCTGCACCTTCAAGGGAGCAGCCCCTTTGCTCGTGGCCTCTTCCCTCCCCCTAGCAGCTCGAGGTCGCAAGGCGGGGGCATGCTGCTGCTGGCAGGGGCAACTCCCTCACGGGGGTGCAGGAGCTGCTGTGGCCCAGGGGGCAGGTCCAGTCCCTGCCGGTTCCTACTTTTATCCCCCTGGGGAAGCTCTGTGGCTGTGGGGGGAGCAGTCCCGGCTGCCTTTCATGTGGCAGTAGGGGCCACGTGGGTATCTTGCCAGACTCACAGCAGTTTGGACAGCTACTGTATGTGTGCTCAGGCAGGGGACAGCTTGCTCCCTGAGCTGGCTATGGGGCAGCCACATGCTGTCCCCCCATGGGCCCTGTGCTGCAGACACCCTGGGGACAGCGGGAAGGGGTCCATAGGCAGGGGCATGCCCTGGGGTCAGCCCGTTCACCCAGACACACAGGAGAAGCAGACAGGTCACTGCAGGCGCCTTCCCCTTTGCCACCGCAGTCCCCCAGTGAATAATAATTCAGCCTGGCAGCGACCATCGATGGAGCTAGGATCAAGAGCCTGCCTCATTATTCAAAGCCAGCCGGGTGCACCAGCTAAAAGGAGCGCAGGAGAAGTGAGGCCCAAAGCAGGCTTTTAGTGCCCCTTCCTCTGCAGGGGAGCGAGATCCCCAGCAGGGCAGGACCTGGGAAAGCCCAGCGCTGGAGCCCAGTGCCAGAGACGTGAGGCCTTGGAGTCGTAGACAATATTTCACTCCTCCTGCCGCTCCTGGCAATTAGGCAGACATTCGTAGGCTGGTGTTTGGCACCCGCCGCATAAATACATGCCATTATTGTCACTATTTGGGGAAGGCAGCACCGTGCTGCTCAACACACCCCCTCGCTGGGCAGCCCCTGCCCAGAGCTGGCCCTGTCACCGCAGCCCTGCAGGCCCACGGACCCTGGGGTAAAGCACCAAAGTCTATCGACCGATCCCACAAAGCCGCCCCGCGTGGCCCCCCGAACACTTCCATATCTGTCGCTGGCTGCCACCTCATGCATAATTCATCCCTCTCATGCATATGCAAAGCTGGGGTTGGTGATTAGCTGCCAATGCAATATAGCTTAATTCCTCGTGGGCGATGGGAGGTTGCCATGCTCCTGGGAGGTCTCCTGATTTTTCACCTTTCCCACCCTCCCTGACTTCTGTTGCAACCCCAAGCTGGCCCGGCCTGGGCAGGAGGCTGGATCCTAGGTGGGCTCAGCCCCAGCACTGGAGCTGGGGGCCTGGCAGGTTCCTGTCCCCAGGGAGAAGCGCCATGCTTTCTGCACCAGGCCAGACCCCTGGAGTGTTTCCAGCCCCCATAACAGCACGAGGGGGCAGCGCCAGCTGGGAAGGCCTGGCTTGACCCCATCCGGACCTGCAGAGCCCCCTGCCCCTCCACTGCCCAGCATCTCTATCGGAGCTGGGGACCAGGACTAGGCTGGAGGGGGTAGTTCAGCTTCCCAAGGTCTGGCAGGCGGACACATCTCCCCTGGCTGTAGGAACCAGTCACTGGAGGGCTGAATGATGTCCCCAGGGAGGCAGATGTCACCCAGAGATGGGGGGAGTTGGGCTCC